CGTTAATATATGCTTTATGGACATTTTAATGTATAGCAGAAACTTTCCTCTCATTGAGTTAAATAGGAACAGAAGGGGGCCTGATCTGTAATAAAATCTTCATGTTGAGCAAATGAGTAAAGAAATAATCATGTCATCAAAACCCATTTGTTTTTGTTTTTTTAAAGAGGGGGGAGGTTGGCTAAACTTGACAGTCCTTGTTAACATCTGTGCTCACATCAATGTGAAGCTTTCAAAGCTCAAGCTGCATTATGTATCATCATCCAGCCATAGCCTCTTGTAGTAGCAGGGCAGAAAACAGCAATGCATTTGTTCTGCTGCCATGGCATGATTAGTGTCACGTCAGGTGGGGCTAATCTCACTCCCCTTTGCCGAAAGGAAATTCCAGCAATATTTCTTCTGTCCCGTGCCAGATTTGGGCCTTTAGAATTGTGCTTCATAGAGTCAGGCTAATAGAGGGTTGTAATTAAGACCATTCTCTCAGAGGGCTGGAGGCAGCCTGGCTTGTATATTTTGCTCATTTAAAGAGATAAAACAAGTGGCAGGAGGAAACTGCTTAGTGTCAATTCTCTTGATTTGCCAGGAACGTCCAAGGATCAGGCTCAATCTCCTGTAGGCTCCTACAGCCAAACTAGGGGATCAGCGGTTAAATCTGGCAGCACAGTTGGCCCGGTCAAAGGGGTACTGTAGCACTCCTGCACCCCAAGTTCCAGCACCTATGCTCCACACCATTCTCGGAAGTGACCAGCATGTTCCTCCCTGCAGCCCCAATGTGTCTGTGAGGTTTCCACACACTGCCCCTGCCCTGAGCGATGACTTCTTGATTGGACCTTCTGGTCTGAAACCTGACACCTGGCAATCCTACTAGAAACTAGTTGCTTGAGCTCAGTATTTTACCTGAATTCTTTCTGTGCACATATTGAACAGTGGGAAAGTACAAATGCTTCATTCGAGAGGTCAGAATTGTATTGCTTCTGCTGTTACGAAATTAATTTTAACTGCTATCCAAAGACTACTCAGAAGTTGTGTGTATTCACCACTGAACTAATGCAGTTAAAGACCACAAATTCAGCCCTGGTAATGCAATGATGTCCATTTACACCAGGGCTAAAATTTGACCCACTGATATTAGATGAATGGATGAATGAGGTACATTAAGAGTGGTGCGGTTAAGGCACTGGTCACTTGATCCAAAGACTATTGAAGTCACTGAAAGTTGTTGAAGCAGTTAGCAGAGTTAGGCTTTGGCTTTGTTTTTCTTTATGATCAATTCTCTCCCAGACAGCTCACCTGCCTTTCCTTTGGATACTGGTGCAATCCCAATAAACAGCCTAAAAAAAAAAGTGAAGCTTCAGGAATCACTAATTTGGTTCACATAAGTAGAGATATCTTAATAATAATTGCTTACATTTATATTCCCAACAACTTTCAAAGCAGTTCTAAAACTATATAGCACAATCAAGATCTGCTAAAGAGCTAGGGTGAGACAACAAAAATCTTTGGAAACCACTCTCTCCCATTACTGAATCCTAGAGGTGCCTCTTTGTAGGAAATTTAACATTGAAACAATTTGCCCAATCAGGAAAAGTCCCATCCTCTTTAATTGGGTTACATCTCTTAAAAAGAACTCTTATCAAAACACATACCACTGCAATGACATTGCACACACAATGTCTATATTTATTTTTAATTAGATATTCACTGTGCTTTTAATTAGATTTTTAACTGAGAGCCCTACTTACAAGTTTGTAAGTGAGGGCTCAAAAATGAACACTAATGCCAGTATACTCAAAAATAATGAAATTCACCATTGCATATACTGTATTAAAAGTGAGAATATGTTCACCTATCCATAGAGTTTCACAAGTGCCATCCACTACTCTAGATAAGTGCTATAGAGGCCTAGAACAATGAGGAGATTAATTGCTCCAAACCCAGTCTGAGTCCAGAAACAAGTAGTAAATGGATGCGCAGGGACATGCCTTACTACATGTTATTTCCAGACTGGTCTCAGGAGGCTGATTGTAACCAAAGACTGCAGTTAGGCAGGAAGAGCACACATGAAGAAAAGTTTGTCAATATATTCACTGTCTTTGTACCCCTTATGTGCAAAATACACCTTTTCAACAGTGGCATGATTCAAATGTTAGATGACATATTGCTTCCAGTTTAAAAAGACACTTTTATGTAGTTGAAGACCAAAATCTAAATGGAACCAAACTGAAACCCATAAATGGAAGACACTTCTCTTTCAGTTCTAGGTCAGTACTTTACAACTTGGACAGATCTCTACTTTAAATTGTTACAATCTGCTGGAAAATCATCTCTCGATTGTAATGGCCAACATCTGCTGTTTTAGATAAACACATGTATCTCCCAAGCGTGAGTTGCATATGAATATGTAAAGGCAGAATTTGGCCTTATGTATGCATGTAACCAACTTACACCTTTCACTGAAGGGGAAGGGGGAAACAATAAACCACAATTTTCGTGTGGCCAACGATGTGATTCTCTCTGCTGTTTTCTGCAGCTCAATAAACAGTAACTGTATGCCAAAGCCTCTGATGGCACAGGTGGTGATTAGGATGCTCCAGCAAAGTGGGGAAGAGAGTCCTGAATTCTGTTTAGAAGCTGGGACAAGAAGGGTTATTTACCAGATGGAAAAGAAGAAATCTTATTGTATAGATTTTATTATATGCATTGGGGAGTTGCTATACAAAACTTAACATTTAATTTTAAGTACATAACCATTTTCTTTTGAGGTAGACTATAGCTAGTAAAGAATATAGCTAGTAGAGGCAGAGAAGAGAGCCCCCAACTGAAGTACAAGTGCAGGATTGGGGCATAATGAAGGAAATGAATGTTTAGGATTTACTAACTGTGTTTATACTGCTTTAGCTATTTGTATTTGAAATTGGTATATTTCAAACTGAGTAACCTCCTAACATGGACCCAGGTATACTAGCATAATGACTTAAGTGCTGCTATATCTTATTCACATACATTTGAGAGAATAAACTGGACCAGTGGGAAGCGTTTATACTAGTATAACGTCATCCACACTAAGGGGTGTGGTGGTAAAGGCACAACTATTTTAGTTTAAACACCTCTTACCCTTCCCCCCCACACACACACACACCTCCAAAAAATAGTCTGTTTTGAATGTGCCTACACTAGGGCTAAGTTCCACGTACAGTTCTTGGCTCAATCTACTACTATTGAGCCTAACAGAGCTAGATGGGAGCATCTGTAGACAGATTTTTCTCTGAAGTCTCTTGCTTTGCTCTTCTGCAGTAGTTGTTTGTGTCTAACAAAGATAGAATTCTGCCCTAGCATGCTTTCACATTTCTGTTTTACCAGCATAGCAATTCTTATGTTCCTTCTTGCATGGGTTTTCCAAAACCACTTATTTATAGTTGTATATGTTTAAATATAGATGTGGAAAATGGCTAATATTTCCAATGGCAGTATATTGGAACTTGCTTAAATGAGCTTCCATTAGGCTATTTGGAAATTCCAGACATCTTTGTTTCTACCTAAACTTTTGTGTGTCCATCTGAAGTATGCCCAGAAGCCTCTGCTTTGGTCAGCTACAACAGGAAATCATACCTGTACTGTTTCTTTAAAACTCTGGCAGGATATCAGGTCTCATGATTCTGTGGAAGGTTCTAGGTTGCACCTCCACTGTACAGAAGAAGTACAGAAGAAGTGGAAGAAACAGAGGCTCTTTGGGGATAATAGTGGTTACCTTACACTGGCAAGGGGCCTTGGTCAGTGTTGAAGCTTTTTTTTTTTTTTTCTTTTCCCCCCCACTGCTGAAAGTCGTCTTCACTGGACAAGAATCTTTGCAGGCCTTAGCCTCTTTTCAGATTGTCATGTGGGTGTAAGTGGTGCATAGAGAGTAGAGCAGGTTTTTTGCTCCAGAATGAATTTTACCTCCTAGAGTGAAACAGAATATTTATAGACCGGTTCAGAACTGGAACCCGTTCAGGAGCGATGGAGAAGAATAGCATTGGGACAGAGAAAAAAAATCTGTCTCCGGAAAGATGGTGACAGCTGAGTCACTTTCATAGTTAGATGCTCATGCAAAGTAGAAAATTGAGCGTCTACTTCCCTCTGCTTAGATTCCACAGATGCTAATGAATCTCATGTAGGGACATCCGCCCTCTACCACTGCTTGTTAAGAACCATGGCAATCTAGACAGCCCCTGCTTCATCCCATGGCCAGCCAATAGCTCTTTCTCCCATTGATCTTCCCTCAATACCCTTCGTACATTTGACTATTGTATTGCTGCAGCTCTTCTGCCACTGCTCAATCCAAGAGTTGTGCTGTTTGTGGACTTGTAATCCTGGGGAATGTGGCAATTTATTAAAGGTTTATGGTTTGAGAAAACAAGGCTCTGGTGGAGGACTACAGTCAAACTGGAGAGTTACTGCATAGGTTCTCCTTGCTCTTCTCTAGCCTATACAATATTAACAGCAAGATGTTTCTGCATATTCATTCAGGGCACGAGACCTTTTGTAGGAGAGCTCCATTTAAAGAAAAAAAAAGTGTCTCCCGCCCCCCCCCCCCCCCCCCCCTTCTCCTTGTGATATCTTAAAAAGATATGATTCTCATTACAGAAAAAACGAATAAAACTACACTCAGTCTATGTTCTGGTCACATCACAAGCCACTCTGGGTTTGTTTCCTTATAGCTACATACTAGTCAGTACACAAGGTAAAGCAGCACTAAGCGTAACAGCAGGGAGACATGCTATATAACAAAAGATTCTTCATTTGTTATAGGTGCTTATAAGACAAGGTTTTTTTGCTGTATGTGTTTGGGGTTTGTGTGTGTGTGTGTCGGGGGGGGGGGAAGGCAGTGTTCAGTAGTTTGATTGGTGTAGATGAGAAACGCCTCCTAAAGCTGGCTGGTATGCACTTAATTTCCATTAGAAAAGAAATCTGGCAACTAACTGGTGTCAGAACTACATTACACAAGGACACAAGTGGTTAGTAAGAAATATGTAGACTGTAAATTAGGCCACCTAAATTTTTTGTTTAAAAGTCTGAAAGCAGCTTATGGACTCTGGCAGCAACGTAAAACAACTTCCAATGAGTTTTAGGGTGAAGTCATTTCTTTTTTACTTTTACCAGCTGTAGAAATTGGAGATAGCAATCAAGCAATTGGAGAGGAAAGTTTGATGTTTGATGAGTTGTATGCAGCACTGAAAGATGTTCAGCAAACTATTCTGGATTATTTTCCTTATTCAGTCTGGTTGTATAGAAGGGCAATGGTGGTGGCAACGGCTGTGGGGCACCACACAAACAACTGCCCCACCTGTAGTTACATCTGTCAGCATTGTCACTTTAAACATAAGTGTGCCTAAAAGCTACGTAACAAGTGGAAATTCACAGAGTTGGACTACAGTTAGCACATGGGCTCCTGCAGGGCGGAACATTTCCACTGTCTCTTCAGATGCCAAGGGAGTTTCTTATGAATCTACTTTGCCAGGCGGAGAAGCATTTACTAACTTTTCCAAGGAAAAAGCTCTCTCAACACTGGAGTTAAAGACAGCAAAGAAAATGAGTCAGTGGAAACAAAAGAAAACAGGTAATACTAGCTATAAAATAAGAAACCGCTATGACAAAGCCAATGTCAGCGTTGTGTTTTTTAACACTACGTATGGCAGAAAAATGAGTGCATATTTTAGAGAGTACCTGCCAGAGCACAGGTACCTGTCACAGGGGCTTTCTTAATCCTCTTAATTTTGCAATGATACCATGCAGAGATCATTGGAAATAATTGCCATTTGACTGTGCCTTCTGGAAGTGGCGGCTGGCAGTAATAAAGCATTATCCGTCTTTATTGTTACACAGACTGATGCAAATGCAAGTCAAGATTTTAGTTCATAATATTGACTTTCACTTTAAGTAGTAGATCTTGTTCCCACAACAAGAAAAACATCCGGAGATGGTGTCTTCTCAAACTTGACTTTACACCTCTACAACTCTTCAAATAAAAGTCTTAAACTCTTCATGCTATCTAAATGTACTTTACTTTAGCAAGTAATTGGCAGAAGCAGTGACCAAAAGACGCATCATAATTGAATTATTTTCTTGACTAGAGAAGACACCTATTACCTGATGATTTCCCACCAAAAACAGAGTGAAATCAGAAATCTGTTAATGGATCTCCAGGTTGTATGACTATCACACAAATATAGATACAAGAAAAACAATAAAGGGACACATTTTCACCTTCTAGAGATTTGTGCAGCTAGAGCTGCATAGACCAGTTTGTAACGATTAGTACCACTGAAATGTGTAAATTCCTTGGCTGATAATTAGATTTTGATGCTGGTAACTAACAAGGCACATTTGGGACTCTTTCTTGGAGAGCTTTTATAATAGCCAAATTAGCTGTTCTATTCATCCTGTTATATAATATCAGACAGACACACACTGGAAAGCTGTTGTCAGGAGGAAAGAAAGTAAAATCAGAGACCAGCATTCACAAAAATTAAATGCTTTCAATTTATTTGTGCTGTGCTCTTGAAGTCTAGGCTTAGTGGACTTCTCTGACAGTCTAACTTTGACTACCTCAGCAAGTAACAAAGCACAGAAATGAGTACAACACACAGTCTGTGCTCTCTGAGTACTGGGCTGGCAGGAACTGTCAACATTTACACACTGTGTGGGACTAGCAGAAATGGAAATAGCAGCAGCTGTTTCTATGAAGTATCAGCACCACATGTGAGAGCAGTTAAATAATTAGTCAGGGATAGAGGCCAAATTCTCCTCTCAGAATTGACACCAGAACAACCCCTTTGAAATGAAAACGGTTACTTGGGTGAGTCAGAAGGAGAATTTGGCCACCAGTCTGGAATCCATTGGCCAAATTCTTCTTCTCATTCTGGGAATCCCATTTACACAAGAGGTGACCTATTTTATTTTACAGTGCTGTACGATTTCCAGTTACATTTTCTGTTACATCCCTGTCAAATCACTTGATACATGCACTGTACCAGGTTAGACTCTTTAGACTTAGAAAGTCTAATTCAGTGGTGATGTTGTAAGGGGTGTAATTCAAATATCTGCAAAAGGATGCGAGTTTTAAGAGAATCTGGGTCTAGATCTTGAGTCTAAACTGGTGGAATTTACATGCTGAGGGCACCCTAAGTGGTAAGTTCTATTTTAAACTCCCCATTAAATCTGGTTGGAAGAAGGTGTGAACATGAGAATCACTGAATCTGGTTTAAGCGCTGGATCTCTTATGAAAGGGATTGGTGATGCTGGTATCTGTTGGTGTGGACATTTGTAATCTTCTGTGTTATAACTGCGAGCATTCACTGCAGTTATCTGTCCGATAGTTTGCCGGGTAGCAAATTAAAGATGAAATGTGTGTGTCACTGGTGCCTTATCTTCAGAAAGGACCATTTGACAACTAGTTAACTTAGCTACGGAGTTGAGAGACTGTAGGAGTAAACTTAAATGCTTAGGTACCTATTGAAAAGTAATAGAGCGGTAGCCACGTTAGTCTGATCTTGGTAAAACAAAAGGACAAAATATGTAGCACTTTAAAGATTAACAAGATGGTTTATATATGGTCATGCCAATTCACTTTGGGTATGTCTACACTACAGCGCTAATTCGAACTAACTTAGTTCGAATTAGTTAATTCGAACTAAGCTAATTCGAACTAACAGATCCAAACTAAAAAACTAGTTCAAATTAGAGTTTTGCTAATTCAAACTAGCATGTCCACATTAAGTGGACCCTGAACCGGGGTTAAGGATGGCCGGAAGCAGTGCCGGCAGGGCATCAGATGAGGACTTAGAGCATGGAGCTGCTGCCTCAGGCTAGCCGAGGGCTGTGCTTATAGGGACCCGACCCCCACCCCGGACAGACAGTTCTCGGGGTGCCCCGCTTGCAAAGCAGTCCTGTCTTGGAGTGTCCTGAGTGCCCACCCTGGGCACATCACAGCACTCGGCCATCAGACCGGCTGCACTTGCCGCAGGCTGCCATCTGGGAAGAGGAGGCAATTGGGGGGCTGCAGGAGAGCTTCCACCCCCAGAAGCCCGCAGAGCCAGCCCAGTCCTCCCCATTGGGGGCTTTTACCCCATTCCTCCCTCACCTCCTTCCACTTACCCTTCCCTAGCCCCCCTTCCTGATGTACAAAATAAAGAAAACATGTGGTCAAAAATAGAATCTCTCTTATTGAACAATACTCGGGGAGATTGGGAAAAGGAGGAGGGAGAGGGGAAGAGAGAGGGTGGGAGAGGGGAGGGCAACTACAATGACCAGAGGTTTGGAACAGGTCCCATATGAAGAGAGGCTAAAGAGACTGGGACTTTTCAGTTTAGAAAAGAGGAGACTGAGGAGGGATAAGATAGAGGTCTATAAAAGCATGAGTGGGGTGGAGAGGGTGCATACAGAAAAGTTCTTCATTAGTTCCCATAATAGAAGGACTAGAGGACACCAAAGGAAAGGAATGGGTAGCAGACTTCAAACTAGTAACAGAAAGTTGTTCTTCACAAAGCAAAGAGTCAACCTGTGGAACTCCTTGCTGCAGGAGGCTGTGAAGGCTAGAACTAGAACAGAGTTTAAAGAGAAGTGAGATAAAGTCATGGAGGTTGGGTCCATGGAGCAGTATTAGCCAGGGGGTAGGAGTGGTGTCCCTGCCCGAAATTTGTGGAAGGCTGGAGAGGGATGGCACGAGACAAATGGCTTGGTCACTGTCTTCGGTCCATCCCCTCCAGGATCCCTAGGGTTGGCCGCTGTCGGCAGACAGGCTACTGGGCTAGATGGACCTTTGGTCTGACCCAGTACAGCCATTCTAAGCTCAGGG